GGAGGGTGAAGATATGATCAATACATCCTCGACCAGAGCCAGATGATGAAGTTACATTGTTTATCCTACGGTTTTCGATTGTTTTGAAAATGATCGGCTTTTATTTAGTTTCCCCAAACTACAAGTCAAGATAATTCCGCCTGGAGTCCCTTCGGGGGCTACTGCCGGTCCCAAGCCCGGATAAAGGAGGAGTGTTGGGCATGGGGTTAGCGTCCCCATCCCGTAGAAAACTAACTCGCTAAAAAAACGCTAACCAGAAAAAATTATTCAAACCTTTTAAACTCTGCGCTGGGAGTCAGAAGGTCTTCATTTAGAAGAACTATGATGCCTCATGATGAAAGCCGAATTCCTTCGGAAGTTACGAGGCCCATGCCCTTCTGACAACCAGAGCAACCATTTATTTAGGTACATGGAATGTTCGTACAATGTGTGACACCTGGAGAGCCTTCCAAATTGCCGCAGAAATGAGAAGATACAACCTGGAGGTACTTGGGATCAGTGAAACACATTGGAGGCAAGTTGGACAACAACGACTAGCTTCAGGAGAACTTCTGTTATACTTCAGCCATGGAGAAGAAAATGCTCCACATACACAAGGAGTTGCATTGATGCTGTCCAAACAAGCACAACATGCACTTATATGATGGGAATCTCATGGACCAAGGATCATCAACGCCTCCTTCAAAACAAAGAAAGAGGGCATTACAAAGAACGTCATCCAATGCTATGCGCCTACCAACGACCATAATGAAGACGCTAAAGATCAATTCTACAATAGGCTGTAGTCAGTCGTTGAGAAGTGTCCAACAAAGGACCTGACCATTCTGATGGGAGACCTAAATGCCAAGGCTGGAATGGACAACACCGGATATGAAGATGTCATGGAATGACGTGGACTAGGAGAAAGAAACAGAAATGGTGAGAGATTTACAAACCTATGTGCCTTCATTAAATTGGTCAGAGATGACACTATATTCCCACATAAACGTATACACAAAACCACATGGACTTCACCGGATCACACTACACAGAACGAAGTCGACTATATATGCATCAACAAAAAGTTCAGGAGGACGATGGAGGATGTGAGAACCAAGAGAGGAGCTGATGTAGCATCAGATCATCACTTGCTGGTCGCCAAGATGAAATTGAAACTTAAGAATTACTGGACAATGGGGCGAACAACATCACAAAAGCTTAATACGGCCTTTCTTCGGGATACTAACAAACTCAACAAATTCAAGATAGTTCTCAGCAATACGCTCCAGGCCTTTCATGATCTACTTAATGGAGAAGGAACTACTGTGGAGAGCAACTGGAAGGGGATCAAAGAGGCAATCACTTCAACATGTCATGAGATCCTGGGTCACAAGAAGCAACGTCACAAGGTATGGATCACTGTTGATACACTGGATGAGATTCAAGACAGGAGGAACACGAAAGCAGCAATCAATACCAGCCGACCAAGAGCAGAAGAAGCCAAGGCACAAGCTGAATACACAGAAGTAAACAAACAAGTGAAGAGGAGCATAAGGACCGACAAACGTAAATATGTGGAAGATTTAGCAATGACGGCGGAAAAGGCTGCAAGAGAAGGAAACATGAGGCCATTGCATGATACAACAAAGAAGCTCACTGGAAATTATCGTAGACCAGAACGACCAATGAAGAGCAAGGAAGGAGAAGTAATCACCAACATTTAAGAACAGCGAATCAGGTGGATAGAACACTTCAAAGAACTCTTCAATCTATCAGCACCACTGAACCCACCCAACATTGAAACAGCACCTACGGACCTACCAATCGACGTTGGCCCACCAAAAACTGACGAGATCAGCACAATCATCAGACAAATTAAAAGCAGTGAAGCAGCAGGACCAGACAACATTCCAGCGGAAGCACTGAGAGCAGACGTAGTAGTAACTGTGAAGATACTCCACATTCTCTTCAGCAAAATTTGGGATGAAGGACAAGTACCAACGGACTGGAAAGAAGGAAACCTGATCAATATATCAAAGAAAGGCGATCTCAGAAAGTGTGGTAACTACGGAGGCATCAATCTTCTCTCAATACGAGAAAAAAATCCTCAACAGGGCGTTGTTAGACAAAGTGAAGGACTCCGTAGACGCCCAACTTCCTGACCAAGAGGATGGATTCCGTAAGGATAGATCGTGTACAGACCAAATCGCAACACTACGGACCATTATGGAACAATCAACTGAACAGAATTCATCACTCGACATCAACTTCACTGACTATGAAAAAGCATTTGATAGCGTGGACAGAACAACACTATGGAAACTTCTTCGACACTACGGCGTGCCTCAGAAGATAGTCAATATCATACAGAATTCCTATGATGGATTACACTGCAAAATTGTGCATGGAGGACAGTTGACAAACTCGCTCGAGGTAAAGACCGGTGTCAGGCAAGGTTGCTTACTCTCACCCTTTCTCTTCCTCCTGGTGATCGACTGGATCATGAAGACGTCAACATTTGAAGGGAAGCACGGGATACAATGGACATCTAGGATGCAGTTGGACGATCTAGACTTCGCAGATGATCTGGCCCTTCTATCCCAAACGCAACAACAAATGCAGGAGAAGACGACCAGTGTGGCAGCAGCCTCAGCAGCAGTAGGTCTCAATATACACAAAGGGAAAAGCAAGATTCTCCGATACAACACAGCATGCACCAATCCAACCAAAATTGACGGAGACAACTTGGAAGATGTAAAAACCTTTACATATTTGGGCAGCATCATTGACGAACATGGTGGATCTGATGCAGATGTGAAGGCGCGGATCGACAAAGCAAGAGCAGCATATTTACAACTGAGGAACATCTCGAACTCAAAGCAACTGTCAACCAACACCAAAGTCAGCATTTTCAATACAAATGTCAAGACAGTTCTACTGTATGGGATGGAAACTTGGAGAACTACGAAAGTCATCCAGAAAATACAGGTGTTTATTAACAGTTGTCTACGCAAAATACTTCGGATCCGTTGGCCGGACACTGTTAGCAACAACCTATTGTGGGAGAGAACAAACCAGATCCCAGCGGAGGAAGGAATTAGGAAGAAGCGATGGAAGTGGATAGGACACACATTGAGGAAAGCATCCAAGTGTGTCACAAGACAAGCCCTCACATGGAATCCTCAAGGCCAAAGGAAAAGAGGAAGACCAAAGAACACATTACGCCGAGAAATGGAAATATACATGAGAAAAATGAACAAGAATTGGATGGAACTAGAAAAGAAGGCCCAGGACAGAGTGGGTTGGAGAATGCTGGTCGGCGGCCTATGCTCCACTAAGAGTAACAGGCGTAAGTAAGTAAGTAACAAGTCAAGATACTTAGTTGCTAAATGTTGCTACATTAAGTTCTCTTAGTGTGCCAAAACAGACTGAATTTATCAATTACGATAACGTGAGAGGAGAATACCTATAAAAAATGCACACAAATGGATGCACATTTATAGTAACACATTGTTTAAAAACATATAACAGATCAATACACCATTTAAGACACACAAAACATGCATAACTAACTTTACATTCAACAACTAACCTATTGCACGATAAATACCATCAATATCTGCATAGGTGATAAATGCGATTCCTTGAGAGTGACCTTGAGAGTCTGTTACCAGGTTACAAGTGTTTAGATCTCCAACTTCTCTGAATATTCTTTTCACATCATGTGAATCAAATGAGAATGGAAGCTAAAAATAGATAGTATACACAATAATTTCTCCCTAAGTGACGCCGAAATATTGTTATTACTGTGACATACTAGTTATTTGGTGACCATGCTTGATAGAAATTACAAGCAAATAAACCTTCTATTACAATAATTTAGGTAAGAACAGAGATATTTTACAAATAACCTTAAAATCCGTTTTGATGTGCACGCTTGTGTAATAGTAACTTGATAATAATTGAGTTACACTGACTGTGAGTACACAATATATAACTCTCTTACCAATCAAATATACATTCATATATCTTAGTTATTAAGGCATGCGATTTGCATTTAATAGGTGCAAACACCCCCCCACTGTGCTTGCACCGGTTTAAACAATCGAGTATCCTGTCAATTAACGTTATACACAAAGTATTCGTCTTAAAGCTGGAAACAAAAACCTGTACTTGAAAAAAGAATGACGTTAAATAGTTACTAGTACCACACATAATACGTGATAAACAGAGACGGATTGTCACTCAATTTCTGAAACATATACTAAGGATTGTGAGTTCAGTCAAATGCAAACATTTGATACCCCCAACGCTCTATCAGTATGAAAGTTGACAAATGAGTGACTTTTAAAGTAATGAATATTATAGTATAAACTGAGAGAACAAACAACCACGAAGTCAACAAAATAAACTGACTTAAGGCATGTGGAATAATCAAAGAAGCTCATTCCTACAAAAAGTAAATACTGATGTTGTCCAGAATGAAAATGAAAACTATATAACTCAGAGAACTCAACAGCACCAAAAGTCTAAAATCCCGCAGATGTTGAGTAAGGGAATCTGTGAACCATAAGACAACTTAGGATCTGGGTACAAATATGCACTGGTCCAAGCTGCCACATATCAAATTGGGGCAGAGGAGATTAAAAAAGGATGAAAAAATATCGGAGTAATTAAAACATGATGAAAGTAAAGAACCTAAGAATAGAAAAAATATTGGTAAGTGATATTCAACACGCAACAACTTTAGATGGAGTACCATTTTGAAAACCAGAATGTATGAATCTACCTACAATAAATTTCTTAAACTTACATTAAGTCGCAAACTTAAACTTAAAAAAAATCTTACATTTTTTACAACTACTTTTTCAGGTATCTGACGTCGATCATTGTTATGTTGCGGACCATTTTCATCACGTCCTCGATCAGATGATCTAGAGTAACTTCCTCGGCCCGGAAGATTAGGCGACCCTGATTTCATCAGAGAACCACCAATATTATATGAATCTTGTCTGTTACTCCGAGAATCTACCCGATAATTACCTAATAAATGAAGATTATTATCATCATTATTATTACCAATATTAATCAAAGAATAAATGGAAATATCAAAACATAAAGTTGTCAATATAATTCAATTGTTTAGATCATGACACACACACGCACGCACGAAGATACTTGACAAAATTAGCATCTAGAAAAATGTACTTTAGTTATTTGATGTAAAGTCACGTTACTACGTAAAAAGGAAATTTTTAATATTACGTCAAAAAGAAAATAGAAGCATGACAAGCATGCTACTAGGTAAAGCGAACAAATTGTTATATTTAACCAATGCATTATCATTAGAAGGATAAAAACGAGCATATAATACTAGATGAAAACAATTCCACATTCTAATACTCCACCAATTAAGCCATATCCAATACATATACACATACGATTACTGACATTTACACTTAGTTGGACAATTTACTCAAACCGTCCTCATTGAAGTGAACATGAAAAAATTGGAAGTGTCGAATATGATCAGTTTCGATAAGCCTAAATGTATTTTGATTGAATTACGACAAAAATAAATAAACTATGATTCAAATAGATCCATTTGGAAAAATTATTTCAAAAGGAAATAGGTATATAACTGTCATAGAGCTTGGAACGCATCATCAAATCAAACAGTATACTGTTTAGAGAAAGCGAAATGAACATCAGCACTACATTGTTGACCATCCAAAAAATCCAAGAACTGCTGTACAAAAGCCTAAAATGACACCGGAACTCTGACTAAAAAATACGGGAGGTATTGTGAGTTCCATCACGGAAAACAAAAAATACCTTCAAAAACTTTGATTTATAATTATTAACGACTATAGAAATACACACAGCTGTAATGGTCACAGATAATGTCAATAAAAATACCAGTTAGAACTGTATTGGGAAAACATCAGTGGAGAATAACAGAGATTTACAAATCAACGAAATCGAACTTATGCAGTACACAACAACACAAGTTCACTCACACAGTCTAGCTCACCTGGAATTTCATACTTTGAACGACCAACATATCCATTGTCAAAATGTGATCTATCAACGCTTCGGTCACCACACCCACCACCATCTCGACCAATAATATTTGAAGCATTCAACTGACCAGACTGATGATCCGAATGAGAATTCTACACACACACACATATGTATGTATAATATAATATGTGAAGATAAGAGAAGAGTGACACAACTGAACGAACTAACGACACCAGATACTGTATAAGTTGATTGTATATTTTAAAAAATCATTTATTTGTCCTGACAACATAATCCACATACAGTATTTCCCAGGATAATTAACAAACACTTTTCTTGTCTCTAATCCAACCACTAAATACATGCAACTACTCGAAATACATACTGATAATAAGTGTTAGAAAATAGACAAACTAAACAATATAAATCTTTGATTTGAAAACCGAAACTTACTGGATAAACTTGTTGAATGTTTTAAGGATAAGATGACTATTCTAAGAGAAGAATGACATCAACTACATACATACGCACATATGAATCCTCCCTTTTTCCAAACCTACTAAAGTCGAGAAGTTTTAAGAACACAAAACGAATAATTCTGTTCGCGTAGCCAACTCGTCTTGAAAAAAACTGATCTAATTACTGTAGAATAGTAGTCAATCATTAAGAAATCAAGATAATGAATTATTTGTTTACTTCAAAATTTATGGAATAGTATTCCTTTTGTCTGAACCCAGAAATCTGTATGACTATCATCTCCTTGATTTGAATGATAGAATTCAACAAATTGGACAGAATCATTTGATATCAATCATTGAGAAAACGGATAAATTAGTCCTCTAGTTAGTAATCATTAAAATCTTGATAGTCATAAAACAACACTCGAACAAAAAATACACACGTAGACTAAATCCAACAAAAGAGCGCCAGAAGCTTTAAACAGCGAATGCATAAATACATTTTTAGAAAAATAATTAGCCCCGAAAACAGAAATGAGTGGTACTACCTACAGGTGTAACTGTGTGTAAAAATAAGAATCTGCTCACAACAATCAGTCAGTCAGTCAGCTCTACAACGTAGGACCAGGCATATATATGCATCGGTCCACGTTGCTATACCGCATTAGCACAGCAAGATGAACACCAGATTCATAGGAGTGGTTAGGTCAAATTTGGTATTATATAGGAGAAAGATTGCATATAAGGATACAGTACAGGAAGAAAGAATTAGTTAGTAGAAAGAAAGATATGAAGTGATTTTGTTATATCCGAGTGGAGATTAAATTACAGGTAACTCCCGAGGACTATTTATGGACTAATATTCTATAAATATTCTTATTGTATAATTATTCAACAATTACATTACGTATATTTATATTCCTCATATTATAAGCTTTATTTTGACCTGTAATTTATTATTATACGATTTACGGTTCTTAATCTATGCTCAGTCTATTATTCACTGTCCCCCTCGTGCACAGCCACTTTTTGGCTTTGTGTACACATGTTATTTTCTAATTTATGGTGCGTTGTGGTCTGTCTGGTTGATATATAAACCGAGAATGTTTGAAATAAACGATCTGCTCTGATTCGAAGCTGGTATTGTGTTCTGGACTCAAGTGGAAGGGCTCGGAGGACATAGGACCAGTAAGGACGCTAGACTGCCCGCACCGGTTGAACGTCATTGGTTGGCCTAGTGTAAAGATCCGTATAAGTCGTATCCGGATTGGTCGATAGGTCGCGTGGTAGCAAAACAAGACATCCAAGGTCATAACAGATTTTAATCTCTTAGTTTAAGGGAAGACAGGGAGTGCATACACCTACGCCATTGTGATCGATTCTGAGCCATGTCACCACGAGTCTCCAACCATCGGTTACGAAAGTCACGCGGACCCCAAGTAGTCTGCATCTACCAACATGGCTCAGACTAGAGGTTAGTGTCTTCAAGCACTGATGCCACGTTTTGGTTTGGCCGCCCCTAATTCTCTTCCAACCATCTCTAACACCCGTCAGCATTGCACGACGTGGTAACCATACCAATAATTCCCATAAGAGCTAATAAAAAAATAAACATCTGATGAAAATAAGTGGAATGTCCAATAAATGAGTTACTTATAAAAGCGTATGCAAAATTTAGGCTTTATCAATCGCCTTCAAAATGTCCCCTATTAGCTGTAACATCCGTGAGACGATACCCTAGGGGGCTGTCCGGTGGGTGTAGAGGATAATCTCGCTTAGTGTTCGAATTAAAGACCACAAACAACAATCAATACTAACGTGTAGGTGGATTATCATACATTTATTGGATAGACAATATGCTCATAGTGAAATTAAGACACTTCACTGATTAGTAACCCAACCGTTGCTACTACCCTGACGTGGTGGTTGGGCTTTGCTATCATGATGAATCGACCGGGCTATACTGCCTGGAACAATTGTTTCTCAAGGTCCTACCATGCCAGGTAGGTCGGCTGAAGAGCGGTAAGACTAAAAGCAGCATGTCCAAGGTTCGAGGTGAAGTCGTGATGCTGATTACAGGTGTGGTGGCAGCAAGGGGATTCCTTCAGACAACCAGCATAACGGCGGTGCTGCCTTGCCACAAAGAAAGATGGGGTTTTTCTGCATGCACCTGGAAAGGAAATTGGGTTCGAGGTGGTCTTAGTGACATGAGAGTATGACCTTAGTCCCAAAGGGACAACTGCTTGAGGCCGGTCACACATTACCTTTTTGTCAGTAATTTTTCTCAATTGTGTACTTGTTGGGACCTTACCGCCGAAGACGGGAATCCGTGGGATAAGGTGAGGTGATTAATAAGTGAATGAAGGTATAGAAAAATTAAAGAGGTTTGAGGAGATACCAAGACATAGATTCTAAAAGACAAGGAAAGAATGCACCTCCGCTGCTGCGAACGATTCTGAATCATAGCAATTAAAGTCTTCTAATTCGAAAACTTCGTGGAATAGTTTGCGTATTTATTGGACAAACTGCACTATTTTTGAAAGTATTCGTAGATATGTATACATACCTGGAATAAACCTAGAGTCGATAATACAGAGGTTATTTGTGTCTGAGACATTCCACCAGCGACAGCTGCTGAAATTAATTGTTGTAATCCATCTTGAGGGAGTTGACCTGAGTAGGATCGATTGATTCCTGAACCTTAAACAAACATGAAAAATTAGATAAGTGAAGATGTGAACAACGACAACAAACATAGAAATCACTATTAAGAACTAACAATTTAATAGTTTCATAAGGTTTAAAAGTGGAACATTGAAATAAATACTTGATCTACCACACATACAACTTGACGATAATATTGCACCACAAAGCAATCATAACCTTAGAAAGTAAATATAGATAAGTTTGAATCTGTTAGTCATTTCCGGATATACAAGATATTGAGAAGTTGAGAATTGTCACTAGACAGTGGGCAAATTCACTGCTGTTTCTTACCCTGATGACAACTGGTAACGATCCTGATCGATGTGCATGCACCCTTCAACTGTTCAAATTCTGTGGGTTGAGAACAATGATATAACTGAAAAATGAAATGAGGTTAAGCATCCGCGCGAAAACAAAGGTCCTGAGTTTGAGTGCCGCGTACGGATCTGCCGAGGAGTTCCATATTAGGATGAAACGACCGTCTAGTGCTTCCAGGCTTTCGATGGTGGTCTAACACTGACCGGTTCATGATCTCAATTGAAAACGATTTTTCTTTAAATTTCGCATTTTGACAGACTAAATACAGGTTGAGGGCAGTATACCTGATGGAAAATAAGTGAGACCTTAAATTTGCATATAATTCTATATAATAAAATGTAAAACTAACACACAATGTTTGTAAGTCTTAGAAATAGCACAGAATATAAATGCAGTTTACAAGATTCATACTTGGTGAAGCATCTGGGATTGATGACAATGACTGACCAGTAAAGTTGGAAGAGTTATTAGATGACCCAGTAGTTGCCAAAGTATTCAGACCCCCAGAAAGATTTGCATTTGACGCCAAATTACGAAGAACTTCAATTATGCCACTCTGAGGATTTGTATCGGTATTTGTTTTCAAACCAAGTAAAGTCACAAGAGCAGCAATAATATTTGAAGATTGTTGTTGGTCAGTCAGGATAGGATTGGAGGGGATCATTGAACCAGTGGAACCCAGAATTCCAGATGAGCCAGTTCGTTGTGGTGGGGGATAAACTATGTTCATTGAAGCAGGAGTACCCTGGCGATCAATCTTTACACGCATTGGTCTGTCTTTTAATATCTAGCGCAAAAAGTAGTATGAATTTAACCTCTTCATACACCACGAAGCAACAAATGTGAAAACAGTATATAAGTGTCAGGAATTACGAAAAGAAAATACTGTACAGCCAAACTTCCAGAAGCATTTTATCAACAATGCAATAACGAAATATCTGATGATAGACAATGTTATCGAAAACCCAGAAAGCGGTATACACTGTCACTGTACATGTCAATGGAAGGCTAACAGATGCGAAGCATTATTTATAGGTTGATGTACTGTATCAACCAAGAACTCACGTTAATCGACAAGGATATTGCGGCCAAATATCAATGATTCACCAATACTAAACATGACGCTACTTTGACCCAATCTGGAAGACGTGGTCTGAAATTGCACATTGGCTTCGGTCCAGGTAAGAAACCTTCGAGATTTTCCATTCTTATAAGTCAACCAGGAGACGAAAAATCTTCTATCCATATGCTGGTGTTGAGGTATATATTTCTATAGACCACTTCCAATTATCCGAATCAACTTGAAAAGTTGGAACTTTCTATACCCGTCACATTTTCTCCGATACAAGGTTATGGATACTTATTTAATTTTAAAAACTAACCCACTAAACACAAACACATACCTGGTTGTTAAACATATTGACGGCTTGGACTGCTTCATACGCATTCGAAAATTTTAATATACCAACACCACGAGAATTCCCTTCTGAGTCTGTTTTTATAACCGAGCTGAGAATTTTCCCAGCTGATTTGAAGACATCTTTAAGCTTCTGCCACGTTACACTATAGTCAAGCTAAAAGTAATGACATAAATTTGAGACGCAACCTACATTACTGACGTACACAGAATCAGTGATTGGCCCGTCCATGCCGACTTGACCTAAGATTTGAGGAGTGAAAACAGATCCTGCTGCTGCCATATTTACAGACTCGTTGGGATTTCCAGAATCACTTAGAAGCCCTCCGTCAACTTCCATTGATGCAAAGCGAGCAGCATCACGAGCAGTCTCTTGTCGAACAACCAACTTTCTGTCTCCAACTTCAAACCGATGCATCATTTCGATAGCTTTTTGTGCTCCTTCGAGTGTCTTGAACTCCATCAAACTTTACAGTAATATAAGTTAAAACGACAAGATATGACTCCTTACCCCATACCGTTTGGTTTTCCATTTTTTTTAAACAACTGTAGAAAGCCAGTAAACCCGACTACTTTGTAAAATCAAAATATCACAGCTTACTTTGTTCTCTAAACAACTCCTTCAGCTTTTGCCAATTTAAATCATATGGGATGTTTGCAATGACTATGCGTTTTGATCTCACTCGACTTTGTTGAGGAGAACGACTTCTTGATCTCCTTTTGATGGGTGAACGATGCCTCGTAGAACTTTGGTCGTCTTGACTTCTGTGTTTTTATCTTTAAGAGACAATGACTAACCTTTCACCTGAAAAAGTACTCATGGATGCCAATGGACACTAGATCGAGTAGAGCAGGAACGTCGAGCACAGACAAACACAACCAAATTGACCGCTTCACTTTCAACATCATTCGTAGAAAAGTATATATGTAATATGTGCATATTTAATTGCTTCATATATTTGAGAAAACACAATAAGTGAATAGGAATCCCGTAAGTCGTGCTCCTAAACTTTCTGATGTAGTGGATGATATCAGTGGCGCCTTTCACTAATGTTCCTGTCTTTTCTTTGGGACTCTATTACATCTAAACAGTAAACAAACCCTCACTGGAATAATTATCACTCTTCCTGCACCATGTGACCCGAATTTTCATGGACAATACTCAGTGAGTTCCTTAGTTTCGATGGGTAGCATATCCTTTATATTTCAATGTGTATTATCAAAATTGTCACATTACTAACTATACTATTCTGAGAAAATCGGGAAACTTTCATTTCCTAAACTACATCAATCATATCAGTACGAATTAAGTGTGAAGAATCTGACCATGGATATGAAGAGTTCCAAATCGTAAGTATGGTACAATATGATAAAATGGTGCTATTTCTGCTCACATCTATGTGCCAACTAGAAGTAGGACATACGACTAGAGAGCTTGCTGTGAGATGTGATGATGAATAAAATGTCCCGAATAAACTTGCTCGTTTGCAGGTGTTTTGCATGGGATCCTGTAAAATACTGATAATTCAGAATTGTTGAAAAATTCGGACGATCTAACAGTCACTACTTTAATCTATGGACGGCTTGCTACGTTGGTATCAGAAATATCTACCCATAGACATCTACGTGTAAGGGCCTTCCAGCGTGTAAACTGATGGTCTATCTTAATAAAATAGATTATTCTGAATGTCTACTCTTTACCTACGTCATTACAGCAATTAAAGTGTGCTTAAGATGTAGTTAATAATGTTGTAGCGGTAAATAAATCCCCAAAATAAATAGCCCTGTAAGTTTTCGACATTGGATGCTGACCATATGTTTTAGTGGACTCATCTAGCTGAAGGCGCTCGGTCAGGCATTCGCATCGGATCACGTGTGATAACGCCGTGCTCAACATCAACCGCAATCGCTAGCCAGATTAGATCAGAGAATTCCGATATTTTGGTTATCGCCAAATACACTCCTCCGATCTCCTCGACTCTGTCTTTTGATTTCTCTCGGTGGGTACAAATCACATTAGGTGTTACTAGTAGAAGCGTTGTCAAACACTGAATACCTGTGTCAACCTTCAATGTCATTCTGCAACTAGCACAAGAAAACATTTATTTTAAGGGTTTTTTACACCAGTTACCAGGCTTTACTATTCTCTAGTAACCTGCCCGAATCTGTCCACCTGTTTGATTCTTTTCACAACACAATGTATTAAAATCATATATAGTTAACAGAACAAATATGACCTCTTGAATAGTGTCAGATGCTATCGTGAGAGTATACTAAAATAATATCTGAAGGCGATATATAATGCAACACATATTTTCAAATTTATAGTTTGATTGTTATAAAGACTAATGATTGGTTGACAGCAAATATTATTAGTTTCGCACCGAATCTCTTCATTTGCCCCACTTCCTTTTGAATACATCCGAGAGAAATGTTTTGCTCCAGCCGTTCCGATTGTTGGCAGCTCTCTGCAAGCTGATCATTTTTTATTCAGTGTGTGAAAAGTTAGAAAAAGAATCATTTTAATCAGAAATGTTTCGTTATTTCTATGACTATCATATCCTTTAATCCGATTGAGGGGATGAACTGACCTCTATTGTTTGTGCATCATTTGAAGGTGCAGATACTTCTAAGATACAGTACAATATCATGACAATATGCTCGTTTGGATTGCTTAACTATAACTACAAGGATTATATAAATTATCCTATCACTATTGCATCTCACAAATAACCTGAATAATGCTCCTCATAAAGTTGAATCACACACCTATGAAAGCTTGAATAGAACAGAGGCTCCTAAATAATATGTTTGGGACGTTGGTGGCTTTCATGAACTAAGACAATATGAGAAACAAAGCTAGTAGACAAAGACAATATCTTACCTCAAGTGGCAAGGTTTGGTACTGGAACCAACGAAAACAACGTGATGACTAACCATGAAAAATCAGGAAAGATTTGTTCTATCACACTTAAAACAAAATAAGATGATAATGCATTTCTGAAGTAGAAGGTACACTCCCGTTTTATAGGCATGGTCAATAAATAATATGGGTTTTCAGATAAGATGCTGCCGAAACAACTTTTGTAAATAAATAAAATCGGAAAGAAATGGCGGAACATTCATGCAGATATATCAAAAGTTAATCAACAAGTTTACGAATGAATCTGAGTTCACAGTTGTTGTGATCCGTTTCAAAACAACAACGCTTATAGGCTGTGACCTGGATGAGCTCACGCCTAGGCCGAACTTGACATTGCTGCTAAGTATAGTAACTAGTGGATAAAACTCATATCACCTGCCATGAATTGTAGTTAAAGCGTCTACGTAATGCTAAAGCTTATCTTAGTGTTAAATCCTAGCAAAGAATAAATGAACGGTAGCCACTAGAAATTATTGGTGGACTATTATTACATATATTCCTATTGGATAATTGTTAAGTAACTAGATCATACTTTGCTTTTACTTACGCCTGTTACTTACAACGGATCATGAGTATTTATATTCCTTTTATCATAGGCCTTTTTTAATTATTGACTATTATTATACGATTTGTTATTCTTAATTTATTAGTTACAGCCTCTCACAACCACGGCCACTTTTTGACTTGATCTTGCGTAATTGTTATTTTCCATTTTATGGTATGATGCTGTATGATTTGCTTGTATATAAACCACGTATGTCTGAAATACATGATTCATATGGCGGGAGCTAATATTGGTCTTCTGGACTGAACCGGCAGTGTTAGGAGAGTAAGTGTAGTGGTATCAATTACAACCACACAATCCTCAAAACTGAACATGAGATAACCGGGAAAATGGATATTCGACCCTTAACACGAAGAAAAAACAAACAATAGTGAACGCGGGAATATTTGTAGTGGAATTGGACAATAGCCACACAATCCACAAAGCTGTGAACACGAGACTACTCAGGAAATAGATATTCAATATTTAACGCGGAGAAATACCTAACAATGGAGAAGGCGCGAACAATGAATTGAATGGACTGGAGTTGTTCGAGTGGCATGGCTTGGCCATGCAGGCGTGGTCTCTGCTGAATGTTACCTTATATCTTCTATTCATATTAAATATATTGTTCTTTCTCTAGCCTAACCTTGTTCTACATCATGTATTGGTAGTTGATACGGTACAGTGAGTTGGTGTAGTCGATGGTGTGACTTCCACGTAAGACCTTATAGATTAGGCAGTTATATCATGACAAATCTACAAATTTAGGATTAGGTCTATTATTAGAGCAGCACTAATATTATACTAGACCATAATTCAACATTGGTGAGCCCAACTAAAGAAACGCAACCTATTATTGTTAATCCTTATTTCCACTTTAACCTTATCAATCGGTTTTTATTTGTGTAAACCCATTATTCTAATAGTCCTGATTAATGCTCGCATGTATTATCGTAATGTTATATTGATTAGTTCTCATGACATACTAGCTCAATCGATAATAAAAACTGGTCGTCTATATTAACCAATTAGCTTTGATGGTTTTGGATGATTTGGATTCTCCGAGCGCTTTTCGAACGGGGAGTTTATTCCTAACGTGATTTGCATATATCAAACTTTTGCTGTGTTCTTACGCATCAAAAGTACCATTTCTGTTCTAAAGAATCTATCCTGAGCTATACGTTCGGTAGATTACTTTTTTTTGAGTTTCACCATATTTCATAGTTGCCTGTGGTTTTGCCTCAGCTTACTATTCGGGTTTTTTTGTTTTTCACGTTTAGACTAGTTTCAGTTTATATCACTCGTTTTTACCTATTTTTGTCCGTTTTCAGTGTGCTTTTTAGTACTTTTTTAAAGGTCTTAGGCTTTTGCAAGCATCTATAACATAGTTTGCTTCAACACAGTCATGAAAAACTCATGCAAACTTCCGGGATGCCGTTTCGCTGTTACAACTGGCAGGCAGTGCGACAACTGCAAAGGTTGGTTCCACGAAGCATGCACAGATCTGACAGCAACTGCTTACAACAGACTCAGCAAGTCAGAGCAAAAGTGGGTGTGTGTGCAGCACGGACGCTGTAGTCTTGCTGAGTAACATCATTGTCCTACTGACAGGTCTTCGGAACAAGTTGTCAGTTAACTTGGATAACGATAGTAAAAAAACCGGTAGACAAACAAGAGCGTGCGACGGATACAAAAATAGGGATGCCGGTAGGTATACCACCGATGGAGCATCCGTCAACACTAATGATGACGTGTCGAGGCTCAGCACCATCATTACGTCGACGGTACTAGACTCCCTAAGCAAACTCGGGTCTCCCAGCTCAGGGTCCCTGAACACAACAGTGGTTCCCAAAAACCCTGTAGGTGATTCGACCCACGTTAAGAGAGCCCAAAAGAACCAGGCATCACCGCCTAAGCCGAGCAACCCAAGTGTTGCTGTACGGAAAATAACTGGTGATTTGGTCGCACAGTCTACCCCCAAGACTGTTCGTCCGGTCAACAAAGAGCCCAAGACTCAAAAACGCGCACTGACCTCCAAACAACAAGTTATTAAACCTGAACCCATCGTGAAACCTGGTAAATTAACAACAGTTCGTGACGATTCTCTCATTATCATGAACCTCGTTGACAATCCTGACCTTCCTCTCAGTCTGCAGGACAAAAACGACAGGATGCTCTGGGGTGAATTGAACAAGAAGCTCGAACTTCCTAGAATAGAGCCTTTGACGGTCACCCGGCTCACTCGAGGAAAGGATTCTAAGCATCTAAATCACCCGAGGCTTCTCCGAGTAACACTTAAGAATGCTACCGACGTAGAGGACGTCTTGCTAGCAAGTCACTTGCTGAAATCAGATGGTAACGTAAAAATATTGCCCGACATACCGTACTCTGAGCGCAATATCATA